CCCCAAAACCCCAAAACCCCAAAACCCCAAAACCCCTACTCACGATAAAATGATGTATAACCTTAATATAATATAATCTTGTAGATACTAGTGACTCAAAAATGAGTATTTTGAAACCGAACATGGATACAAACAAGAGCAATATTGCAGGTAATTTAAATTGATTATACTTTTAGGAAAAGTAGTGATCCTTTGTGTGCTTCTTACTACTGCTTTCTGCTTACCAAGAGTAGATACTTTACTAAAAGAAAGTCCCAATAAATTGGGAGCAACCATCGATAACTCTTTTGAAGATATTTTGAGAAAGCCTTCAGAATGCACAGATCAATCATGTCCAAGTGGTGCTTACTTTATTGAAGGAGGTAATGGAGAAGAGCTCTATGCTTTTGGATCTTTACTTGGAGGACCTCAATCAACCATGGATCATGGTATGACTGACGAATACTCGAAAACAAGATATGCAGTCCTTGTCGGAGAAGGAACTTACAAGATGCCTGGACCTTTTAGACTCGGATATTACACCCAGGTTACAGGAGTCGCAGATAACAGAGAGCTTGTGAATATTTCTCCTGGAATAGATGTACTTAATAATTGTGGAAAGTCAGGTGATCCTAATTGTGTTTCCCCAGGAGGCCTTGACAATTTTTGGAGAAGTATTTCTAATCTCAAGTTAGACATCAGTGAACTAGGACATCCATTATTCTTTGGAGTTTCTCAAGCTTCTCCTATTAGAGATTTAACTATCACTGGTAACAGTATCTTAATGTGTGATATTAACCAATATGGTCAATGTGGATATACTAGTGGTGGCTTTATCAGTGGAATGGAAATAGATGCTAACATTGAACTAGGATCCCAACAACAATTTTATGTTACCCAATCGAAGTTCCAAAAGCTCACTGCAGGTGCTTGGAATATTGTATCCAACAACAACCAAGGAGGCTATGAAGGAGGAGGCGACTCAAATGTTCACAATACATGGGGTGAATATCCACTAACAGAGACTACCAGTGAAGTGCATCTAAAGGCTCCCAAACTTGTACTCGAAGAAAATGTATGGAAAGTTGTAACTGACAAAGAAAGAATGCTAGTCGATGACTTCATTGTGTTGTCTCTTGGTTCAAACGAATCTCCAACTGTTGTAAGTGAGGAATTGATCCAACAAATCAATGAACAGCTTATGGATGGAGCTAAAGGAGTTATTGTTGAGCCAGGAATTTATCACCTTGAAGGAACCCTTATAGTTCCGGACAATAAGGTATTTGTTGGTCTTGGCCTTCCAACATTCGTTTGTCAGAGCACATCAGGCAGATGTATGGAGACTGGAAGCGAAGGAGTTCATATTCAAGGCATGACTTTTGATGCTGGAGTAAATGGAAAATATAGTGACAAATCTAATATTTTACTTACAGTTGGAGATCATGGAAATGGAGTAAGTGACAACCCATCAATGTTACAAGATGTCTACTGCAGAGCTACTCGCTCTGATTCTAAACAAGCAACTCCTCAAGCTTTTGCTTGCATCGAAGTAAAGGCTGACCATACAATTGGAGAAAACTTGTGGTTGTGGAGAGGAGACCATGATATCCAATCACCTCTTATCCCTTATGACGTAAATGTATGCGAGCATGGACTTATCGTAAGAGGTGATAACGTCAAAATGTTTGGACTTTTCGTTGAACACTTCAACAATTACCAGACTGTCTGGTATGGAAAGAATGGAGAGATTAGGTTTTATCAATCAGAGATGCCATACTTCTTGACTGTTGACGGAGAGCAGCATATTGTAGATTGCTCTCACCCTGACTCATCTGAAACAGTAGAAGAGCAAGTTTGTGCATCACTTTACGTTTCTGAATCTGCTACAGGATTCAGAGGAGAAGGGCTTGGTATTTATAGTTTCTTCCCTAATACTCTCAATCAGAAGACAATCAGAGCTAAAACTGCAATAGTAGTAGAAAATGATGATGTTTCTTTCCATCATGCATTAACTTATTGGTTAAACGGGGATCATGACAGCGGAATCGATAGTATTTTGATGAACAAAAATGGTGAATCATATCCTAGTGAAAGCTCAATTTACCAAGACCTGAAAGGATATGCCTTTTCATCATATCCTCCTGAGGAATCCTTGAACTCATCTGACTAGATTAAAACACTTTAGGTCAATCTGTATATTTTTAAAAGGGGTTTTGGGGTTTTGGGGTTTTGGGGTTTTGGGGTTTTGGGGTTTTGGGG